ATCAAAGATTAATCCCGTTGTCCACATTCCATAACGATGTGTTAAATCGCTAATATCTTTATATGGGGGATATGACCATCACGTCACTCGAGTAAACTTCGTTAATATATGGTAAAGAGTGTATGGGCGGTGAAGGGTCTGGTTCTATGATCCTGTCGTGTGACAAAGTCTCTTATAGGTGGATCATCGGATCAGCTCGGTATATCACAACACTACCTACCGCTCGCCTCCTCTTACCTTTGTTACCTACCTGACTTGTTTGTTAGCAGTACGTAAATTGTGGTTTCTTTGAACTTGCCGCTAAAGGTGAGAAGAATCGCCAAAAAGTAGGCGAGACGGTTCATATTCAACTATCCATAAAGCAATATTTAACAAGCACGTATCTATGTAACGAACCCAATAATCTGTATCTCTTTATCAGAAAATCAGTTAAAATTGATGTGTGCTGCTGTTTTCTGCTTTCGTGTACAGGTAGATTGTTTTATCAATTACTTATTCCATATTTATACGTGGAATAATCGCCGTTATCTTTGACGCAACATTAACAGACGAGATGAATATAATTTGAAACGGAATACGGCATAAACACTGTTATTTGTGTTATTCCCTTCATGGCTACTTAGTATACAAAATTATTCGTCAATGAATGGTATTTCATGTCTATTTTAAAATGTAAATAAAAAACAAAATAATAAATACAGATTCACATACCTGCGGGTTTTTTTTTCATGCAAACATACAATTACGTTTGATTCAATCAGATATAGTTACTAACACGGACTTAGATACGGACATGTGTGAGTCCGGGGGTACTTTATTTTTGCGTGTTACACTTCTCTATCGAACTTTCTTTGAGTGTGATTCGAATTAAAAAAATAATTGTTAAAAAGACACAGAAATAAATAGAACATTTCGATGCCAATTAATAATTAGATACACTAAGATACACTATAGATAAAGTATATGTAACATCATACAACTGTTTGGTCCTAAGAGATTTGCGGACACCTAAATACCTGGCACCTTCCGACCGACGTTATCTAAGGTCCCAGCTAAGTCCATTTTGAACTTATATAGACAGTTACAAAGATTCACGATAGTTTATCGACGATATGATTTTTTTATTTGCTTTTTATAGATTTCATAAATTCCGGCTCCATTTCACAGAGAAAGTAAACGTTACTTGATATCTTTATCTTTCCTCTGTAAGCAATTCTAAGACTTAGATGTGTTTCACCTTCAACACTTTGTTGTTGTTGTTGTTTTTTATAAATACTGGTACACCGAATCTAATTAATTGTCCTTTTGTTGACGTGCAAAAGACACCCAGCCAAGAAAGAGATGCTCATGGACAATCTACACGACCACTCTCATTCTGGGCAGTCCTAATCTTGTCGGTACCATGGCTAGTGGGGTACGTATTCCTGTTAATTTTCTATTCTGCTGAAAGACCGTAAGATGGACGTAAACCACGTTAAACAAAACTTACCTTTCTGATCCTCAGTGGACATGCTAGGTCCTACTATACTCTTATTCACCTACGCATTATTTTGAGGGGTTTCTGATATCAAAGAACACCATAAACGCTGGCAGTACAATGCATACGTCGGATTAGAATTATTACCAAAATCAGACTGAGAAGCGAAAATGAGAGAGAGTAAAATAGCACAAAAGTTAGCTCAAATTGATGTAACTACTCAACATTACTAACTGTTATAAATGACACGAGCCGCTCAATGGACTTTATATATAAGGTATTCACTTTTTAAGATAAACTGACTACAGATAAAGTCAGAATGTGTTTAATGTACACTTATATCAATACTTTGTCGACTACTCACTACATAGAGTTCCTTTGGACAAAATTACCATGTGTTGAGTAGTGGTAGGGCATTGAACGACTAGCACACCCGGTGATTAGGCACTTAAAATACATCACACAAACACTGGAAAATGCGCAGGATTTCAACTATCCATAGTAAAAATATTGCTTATACTACATCATTTAAACATTAGCATCAGTTTAAAACAGAAACCAGAAAATATCCTTTTATCGGATTTAAAGTCTATTTTTTTCATACATATCTCTCTATTTCCAAGTTCTCCTAAGTGTTACGCATAGAAACCACTATACTGTTCAAATTATGTCCTCATCGCTCCAGAGTCAGAGGGGATATTACGATGTCGGAATCATTGATGAATAAATGCTGAGCCTATTTTCAACAGCATTGTTTGCTTTTGACGACCGTATTTCGTAATCACATCGGAAAGATATCCCAATTCTCATAATCATAGAGAGTAAGGGCGCAAGTATTCCGTGATGCAATGAAAATGCTACATAGATAAGGATACACAGATTTATTCTGACAATATACCAAAAGATATACAGTATTTAAAAAAATCCTTTGGTATTATGCTACATTTTCAAATCTTAGTCTGAGAGTTTTTGACCATCTATTGGCTATTTTTTTTTCGACATGGTTACTGTCGATATTCAGTAAACATGGAATTTAGCAATCAGGCAATGATTAAAAGATTAACAACAGAGCAATTGTTATAAATAATACATACTTTTTCTATGCTAACTTACGTAAGCATCAACTAAATGTATTAACTATATTCTATATTTCTTCCTCGACAACATGAGCTTCAACCACATTTTGATAATGTCCAGATTTGTCGTTCTGAACCCTCTGAAAAGTAAACTCTCAGGAGAAACATGCGGGACCTTAATAATTATTTAAACACACCTGAATGATACAACAACAACAGCAGCAGTAGTATTAGTAGGAGCAGTTATTAAATTATTTCAGTTCAAAAGATAGATATTCAGAGTCCTTCGGACTAACCTGCTCACTCGGAAACACCCTCACCTTCCATCCCCCTCTCACCCATATCTTTTACTCACGCCTTTTTCGTGAGCAATGTTATTGCTTTGAATCGTATAGAGATGGTGTTATAGTGTGCATTCCGGATCGAAGGATTGCAAAAGTTCAGTAGCCATTGGACAACCGCTTATTATTAGGGAATTAACTTCCTCTATTATGGCCTTTAAGCCTTTCAGAGGACGAGTACAACCGCATCGGATGGCGCTATTAAACCTCGTCATTTAATATTCCCATGTAATAGTACACTGTAAATGTTCTTAAAAACAATTTAATCTTAATAAATCAAGCAGTGTTGTGCTCTCTCCTACTTCCATAACCATCGAAACCAAGGATTAGATCATTTATTTTGGGCCACAGGCATCCGTATCTAAAACTTGAACATTTCGGGAAAGTACGTATAAAACTGAGGGAAGGGACTTAACTCTTATAAAAAGAAAAATAATTCCGTAAAAATTATGTCTATGATCATTTCGAAAAATTATTAACCGAAGGCGCTGATTTGGAAAAGTTGAGCACCTGCTACTCTGCAGTGTTGCCGTTAGAAGTCCGCATAGAAAGCGACAGGCATCCAGGTAACTGTTTCTGCTTGTTTTTAATTGTTAGAACGGTGTTCATAACTTTGTTTTAAAATATTTAAAACTGATACGGAGCTTAATTAATTACAGATAACAATATACATGCCACGTTCGCCGGTATCAATGGACACGATTAGTTGTAAACACGAGTTAGCCCCCCTCTGACGAATCCTACAGGTGTCATTTCTGGAATCTCGAATACAAAATGCCTCTCATAACTTTAAAAGGAATCATATAAAAAGTTCACAATATAAATAAATAAATAAAGAAATAAGTAAACAGAGAAGTCCGTAGCCTGATCCTAGGTATATGTTTCATGCAGACTAATCTGCTCTACCAAATGTGATTGTGATCAACCTCTGATGGCATTTTTTAATGTCATTAATAGGTCACAAGGGCTTGTTTAGATGAGTTAGTTACATACTCTTCCCTATCGTCTAGGATTAGGGAAAGTACGGGATCAGAATGCATGGTATGTAGTATACCCCACCCCCAATGTCATTGGTAATTAACTTGTCTAGACAAGGGAGGTCAGGCCAAGTGGTGTGATGGGGAATTTTCTTTTGGTTACTATTTCCAGTAGAAGATTATCACTATCACAGTCACAGTCTCATTATTGCAAAGTGTTGTTCCCTGAGGAAGTTGAGACTGTCGCTCAATTTTTTTTTTTTGACACTTTGTAGTCTTTTACTACTGAGTGCGCCCTATGTAAAATAACTTTTAAAATTTCAGATTCATACTTTATTGGTATTAGAGTGGGCCAATGGTGCAACAGTAACCCAATGCCTTCACGTAGGTGTTCAGGGTTTGATTCCTGGTATTGTCGTGAAAAAGTCAGCTGCTGTGGGTGGGTTTTCCAAGGGTACTATGATTTCCTTGCAGAAAAAGTCCCCTTGCCCACTTCATTCGTGATTAATATCAGTTGGAATAAATTGTTACCCCATTGTTGTGAAATGAATAAGTTTAATTTAATTAATTTTATTGACATAAGTCATACCTTGACAGCTTTGTTTAAACTGTTTTTATTTTTTGAAAGGCATTTTGATTTGTTGTTTCTGAAAAACTATTTTCAAAATGCATTTGAAACTGTAGTTGTCAGAAAAAAATAAGTTGATACATTGAATCAGAGAAATATATAATGCAGTATATATCCCTGATTTAGTTAACGACTGTTGATAGCCTTGACACTTGTGCAGAAAAATGTTTGAAATGGAATTATATGAAACATTTCCCGAATGCTGACCCATTTCATATTTTCTGTAGGGGGAAATTTACAGGATAGTCCTAAAAGTTCTTATTAAAGGCATTGCATTGTATGGTATTACGGATTATGAGTATGAACATGAAAACAATTTATAGATCATTGATTCTTATCTGGCTTAATAATGTATAGATTATCACAGAGTTATAGTGTAGTAGTTCTTTTACTGATGTATAAAGTTGAAGAAATTAAAAAAATTCCTTGAAAGTTGTTAACAATTCATCATGTAGCAATTTTTTAAACAGATATACATATTTTTATTCTTCATTATACAGCATGTCAGATGTGCGACAGAGGAAAAGCAAAGGTCGCTCTCAGAAGAATGCCTCCTCAGTCGTCCAGAAAGGAGTCCAGAAGTCCAAGACTTCCTCAAAAGACGAGGAATGTGAGAGCGAGGACTCCCCCCTCTATTGGACGCTGTCATGGAGTAGTGTTATTTTGGGTGTAGTGGTAATGTTCTGCTGTGGGCTGACACATGCCAAGTATATGTCACAGATTCATGAAAACTGGCTCTGGTTCACAAATATCAAGGTTAGTATCACTGGTTTATTTTTCATATCTACAAATAAAACCATGAAAACAACCCAGTAGCTCCTTATAGTAGCAAAAATATTATAGCTAAGATTAAATCCTATCTATTGGTTTTAATACTAGAATTGTAGATGATGGTCTGTTTGGTGAAAATAGGTTCTGTTCTGGATCTTTTGCTTGAGTTTTCACAGTGTGGCCAAGTTTCTTTCAAAAACACATTACTATAAAGTGTTAAAATTCCAAAAACAGAAACATTTATCTGGGGATTTACAAGATATTTTAAGTGTTATCAGGGTCATGGGGTGTTTTTTCAAATTTGGAAAAAAAAGTGTTCCTGAATGTAGAATATATGCAACTGTACATTATATACTAATCCACCTGTGTATTTAAATGTTTAGTATCTGTTGTATGAACCTGTACATTGTTACAGTAGTGAAAGCAGTATTGTTTCTCTGACAAGTAGATAGTGACGCCTCAAACAAAGAGAAAAATGGTTGAAATGATACCACCGATGCATCCCATCGTAATCTGCTATGTTAGGATGATTTGAAAGTCTAATTTATTTATAATGCTACTTGTTATCGCTGGAAGGTACACTTATAGGTAACTAGGTACAGTTTGGGTTGTAACGGATCTGGTACTCCGGAGGATGAAACATTTCACTGTGATAGCTCTAGACAACATCAATCCCTTGTGTATTATGTACTGAAACATCCAGTCTGATGTTCTCTTCTCCTAATAACCATTGTTAATATTGTGATATGATATGCTCTGTATCTGTGTAAGTGTAAAATATATGCTGGACGTGAAAAGACAGCACACTCATGTAATACTATCGACTTAGTTTTCCTTTCCGTGTTTGTTAGTGTTTTGGGGAAATAGCGTTCCTTAAATAAGTATAAAGCCCTACATATAGTTATAAAGCATTGTTTTAATTTGTAAAATAAAATATTTCTATACACAAACTATATCAGGTTTTAACTCATACTGATGATGATATAATTGTCACATTTTATATGGTTGTTTGTTCAGGTATGATTTAAACAGACATTTAATGTGCATGAAAAATTAAAAAAATTATATCTACAAAACTTTAAATGGTGTTGTAATATCAGATGGAGGGTCACAAGGTGACAAGTGAAAATATTGATGATGGATTGTCAAAGGAGAAGTATTGTTCAATATCTGTTTCTTCGGATTTGGACTTAACATATCAAAATTTTTGATATTAAAGATTTGATTAAATCCACGATAAAGATATAACATTTAATATACCTACAGATGTATCTACAAGGATGGTGGTATTCAGTATGGGCAGGTCCCTGAAAGGTCACACTTTATTCCAAAGTGAAAACACAGATCATTTTATTTTTTTGATTTTGTTTTACTGTTGTTAAGAAATAAAATATTTTTAGTGTAGTTATGATTTAGTGTTTTTCATTAGTTTATAAATGTTATGATGTTTTAAATGATATTTTTTACATTAAAACATTTGAAGGAATAAACGTACAATAGATATGTATATGAATCCACCTCCTCAAGTAATTGATTTTCTTTATACTGAATTAACTATAAAACACCATAAACCACATCAATCATCAATTATGTTACAGCCCTATTCAATACCATTCTGAATGCATTGGAAATCAATGTGTTCTATCTGATGTGACCAGCAGCTGTTACACTACGGCTTATACGTGAATTGTCACGGACAAAATGACAAGATGATATAGCTAAGAAGTCACCTTGATCATTTCAGAATGCAAAGTAGACTAATAGAATGTGAGAATATTAAAAATCATTGATACCATACCTGATCTAAAAAAAAACCTACTGGTATATAAATCAAAATTCTCCATCTGTTATCTATTAAGTCTTGTAGGATGAAGCGACTATAACTGAAGAATTATAGATATTCTGTTGTAAGTCTGTTGCGATGCATCTTTTCTTGAAGACATTTTCATCTGATTATACTTTGTTTGATGTTAAGGATTTTATATTCTCATATAATCGTTAAAATGATACGAAGATGGGAAGACAATCTCCACAGAGGATTGGAATGTTCAAGGGCATGTCACAACCTGGAAGTGGTAGAACTACCCCAAACAGTGTCACATATACATTATTTTACCGAAAATAAGCCCCCTTCTGCAAATAAGCCTCCTCCTCACTTTTGTATGTCTTCCAATGCAATAGGGGGATTGTTCACAATTAAGCCCCCCCCCCCCCCCCCCCCCCCCCCCCCCCCCCCAAAAAAAAATAATGAGAAAAAAGTACTGTTTGTTATTCTTCTAGATTAATAGCCACTTGAGAAAAGGAAAATTTCAAAGCAAAAAAGAGGCTAACCAATCCATACTGCTATACAAAATGATCCCAAATTTAATAACGTTATACAATGTGGACAAAAGGCCTGTTTTACCTTCCATGTGATGATTGATCTTTTTGAATCGGTTATCTCTTATAGAAATTTATGACAATGTGACATTGCAATTAATAAATGTAATCATTATCTTTATGGTTGTTTAGTAAGTTAAATAAGATATTTGGTTAGATATTGATTTTGTTGTGCATGTTTGATCAATTATCATTTTCTTTGTGCATGTCTTTTGAGTGAACAATAGGTTGAGTGATGGAGGTTGAGCGATACTGAAGCCATCAAAATCTATAATAAGTGGGTAGATGGAGCATGAAAAACATCAGAGATTCTGTGAATTAGTGGATTTTATTGTCGACATATTTCAGATGACTTGGATAACCATCATCTGTAATAGTACCACTACTGCTACCTTAGCATAATGGTTATTGCACAGTTGTCTCCCTTTCTGCAGAAATAGTCAACTGTACATAACAGATTTTCAAGTTTGTTACTCTCAGCTTTGAAGTCTTGATCATGGGTGTCAAATCAAATTCCTGAGGTACAAAATGAAGACCCAAATATTTGTAGACCAACATCTCTGTTTGTGGTGACTGCCTTACTTTAAGATTTTGTCACTTTCTGCCCAGCAGTGCCTATATGTATTTAGACTAGGAATCATGGCAGGGATTAATCTAGTCAAATTTGTGCTGCGGGACATGGGGAAAATTCCCCAAACAGAGCTACAGTATTTTCTGGGTTATAAACCGAACATGTATATAAGCCACTGAGCTGATTTTCACTAATTTTTTTCAATTTGATCCATATATAAGGCACACCTGAATATAAGCCCACCATTTCTTACGATATGGTAACCACCATTGTTGACCAAAGTTGTTTGATATAACAGACAATGTTTAATATTAATGAAGGCCCTTACATGCTAACCAAATTTTTATACATGTAGTACCATATTATTTCTTCTGGTAAGTGTCATGAAGCCGTTCATATCATAAACAAGCATGACAGTCGTTCTAGAATTTGACCTATAACCTGATGACCTATCGATCCAAGGATGAAAAAGGTTATTGTTAACTTCTGCTGGGCTTTGAAGTAACCGCAAAAGTCCAGACAATATTATTGTGATTCATAGTAAAAGGTATTATTTATTAAATCTACATGAATGTTATTTTTATTTCAATCTTCAACTCATCCTCTATATGATTGCAAATGACGATCTGTTTCAGTCACAAACATATGATGGGCAGTTACTCATAAAAAAATTGAGTACCGTCATTACTCCACCAATGTTAGAGGTTTTTCTTGGCAAGAAACATATGACAGGCGCCGTGTAGTCGCAGTCAGCACATTAATGAGAGATAGTAAAACGGCTGACCATCCTTATATTATAGGAGTGATGAGTTGCCCTACACTATACAGTACAGTTACTGTCTCCTACATACTGCTCAATGACTCACCAACTCTTACATACTGTACAATAACTGACTCTTTCATACTGTACAATGGCTCACCAATTCTTACATACTGTACACTTACTAACTCCTACATACTGTACAATGACTCACCAATTCTTACATACTGTACACTTACTAACTCCTACATACTGTTCAATGAATCACCAATTTCTACATACAGTACAGTTACTGGCTCCTAAATACTGTACAGTGACTCACCAATTTTAACATACAGTACAGTTACTGACTCCTACATACTACTCAATGACTCACCAACTCCTACATACAGTACAGTTACTGACTTCTACATACTGTACAATGGCTCACCAATTCTTACATACTGTACACTTACTAACTCCTACATACTTTTCAATGACTCACCAATTTCTACGTACAATACAGTTACTGGCTCCTAAATACTGTACAGTGACTCACTAATTTTAACATACAGTACAGTTACTGATTCCTACATACTGCTCAATGACTCACCAACTCCTACATACAGTACAGTTACTGACTCCTACATACTGTACAATGGCTCACCAATTCTTACATACAGTACAGTTACTGACTCCTACATACTGTTCAATGACTCACCAACTCCTACATACAGTACAGTTACTGACTTCTACATACTGTATAATGGCTCACCAATTCTTACATACAGTACAGTTACTGATTCCTACATGCTGTTCAATGACTCACCAACTCCTACATACAGTACAGTTACTGACTCCTACATACTGTACAATGACTCACCAACTCCTATATATAGTACTGTTACTGACTCCTACATACTGTACAATGACTCACCAACTCCTATGTATAGTACCGTTACTGACTCTTTCATACTGTACAATGACTCACCAACTCCTGTTTATTATATAATGTTATAGACAGTGTGTAGGAGTTAGTGAGTTTCTATACAGTATGTAGGAGTTGGTGAGTTACTATACAGTATGTAGGAGTTGGTGAGTTTCTATACAGTGTGTAGGAGTTGGTGAGTTACTTTACAGTGTGTAGGAGTTGGTGAGTTACTATACAGTGTGTAGGAGTTGGTGAGTTTCTATACAGTATGTATAGTGTGTAGTTGGTGAGTTTTTCTATACAGTGTGTGTAGTTACTTTACAGTGGAGTTACAGTATGTAGGAGTTGGTGAGTTACTTTACAGT